CGAATCAACGTGACTGATGCGCCTTGACATTCCGACATCGTGTCAAAATACCGCTTCTGGGGGCGCAAGCCATGAGATGTTGTGGAACTTGTTGCAAACTGTTAAGACGAGTGTGCGCTGCGCAAAGGCGAGAGCCACACGTTGAAAGCGGAGCGTCCTCCATCCATGAAGCTCTTGCATCTTTTTCAGACGAGTGCGCGCGGCGCAAAGGCGAGAGTCAGACGTTGAACGCGGACCGCCCTCCATCCTTGACGTTCAATCACTTTTTTCAGGAAGGTGTTCGCGGCGCTAAAGCGAGAGCCACATTTTGGAAGCGGGCCGCCCCCCATCAGTGAAACTCTTGCACATTTCGAGCTTCAGGATCATAATGTTGAGGGAATCTCTTGCAGAACCCCCAGCCCACCCTTTCGACCGAACTCGGGGTGCGATAGGGAGGAGTTATTCATAAGGACAAGGAATGAAGGAAGACCCAGGCCCCATTGCGTCGTGACGGACAGCTTGTGGTAATCTTTGGCCTCTCAGGGCCTTTTCCGGGTGCTGGTCCGCCATGAAGAGAAGTCATGATGAAACGCCAGTCCCGTGGAAGGGGTCGAAACTTCGGGGGATTTACGTCTGTGAAACAATTCGCGCTGTCGGACGGCATAGGGAGAACGAGGACTGAGTTCCCCACCCGGTAGGTTGGGGTCGTGAGACTGCGAAGGCCTTACGGCCGGTGCGGCCGACGCTGATCAGAGTCCTCATGGATGCTTCTTGGGGTCCCTTCGAAGCGCTCTCGGGGGCCTCTGGAGAACAGTTGGGGGGCCTCTTGGGAGCCACTTGGGGCCTCTTGGGAGCCTCCTGGGGGCCTCTCGGGGCTTCCTGGTGGCCTCTTGGGAGCCTCTCGGGGCTTCCTGGGGACCTTTTGAGGGCCTCTTGGTTCCTCCTGGGAGCCTTTCGAGGCCGAGGGCTCGACATGTCCGTTCGGGTCCCTCGTCTGTGCACCCTCTTGGAGCCATCTTGGGGGCCAAGTGGGGGGCCCTCTTGGGCCGTTTTGGCTCCCTCCTGGAGCACTCTTGGGCCGTCTCTGAGCGTCGGGAAGCGGAAGAGACGAGAACGCCGAAATGCTTCAAACACCAATGGGAAGTCTGTGGTTTTTCCTCTTGGGTCCCTCTTGGGAGTGCTTCTGGAGGGCTCTTGGGGCGTCTTGCAGGGCTCTTGGGCCGTCGGGAGGCCGTTAAGGCGTCTTGAACAGAACGTTGGGCGATTCGAGGCCCTTTGGGACAGTCTCGGAGTCCTCTTGGGGCACTCTGGGCCCGTCTCGGGGCTTTTTTGGGCCCGGGGAACTCTCGCGGGCAACGGTCATCAGAGGGACCGTCATTTGGGGCATCTGGCGGGGCCCAGGGTCCCGACAGGCAGGGATCCATGCCCCTCTTCTCATGGCCCTTTTTTTCCAGGCCTTCGTTCCAGGGCCTCCAAGGCCCAAACTTCCTCCAGAACCTCAGGGGCCTCCGGGCTAAGGTACGACAGGGCAGATCTGTAGCAGTTTGGGTTCCCGCAGGCAAGGTGGTCAACCAAGCTCCGATACTAAGCTTCGCCGAACTGAAACGGGTCAAATAAGTAGGTCCTGTAAGTGAATGAATAGTTGACGCTTCGCGTACCATCACCAGCCCATTCAGAAACGACGCCCAGGGGAGTTGAGGTGATCAGGGACGCGGGGGAGCATGCAGAAGGACAAAGGGCGGGGGAAGCCGTCCGATACCCCAAGAGGGGGATGATGGTGGAGGAGAAATAGAAGGAGGACGATGAGGAGGAGGAGGGCGAAGAGGAGGAAAGAGGAAGAGACCTCGGACAAGGATGACGATGATGATGATGCTGATGATGATGATGATGCTGATGATGATGATCATGGTGGTGGTGGTGATGATGATGCTGCTGCTGATGATGATGAGGATGCTGCTGATGCTGATGCTGCTGCTGCTGCTGATGATGATGATGATGATGCTGATGCTGATGCTGATGCTGATGCTGATGCTGATGATGCTGCTGCTGATGCTGCTGCTGATGCTGATGATGCTGATGCTGATGATGCTGATGATGCTGATGACGATGATGATGATGCTGCTGATGATGATGATGGTGATGCTGATGATGATGATAATGATGATGATGCTGATGCTGATGATGATGATGATGATGATGAGGATGAGGATGAGGATGAGGATGATGATTATGATGATGATGATGCTGATGATGATGATGATGCTGCTGCTGATGATGATGATGATGATGATGCTGCTGCTGCTGCTGCTGATGATGATGATGATGATGATGATGATGATGAGGAGGAGGAGGAGGAGGAGGAGGAGGAGGAGGAGGAGGAGGAGGAGGAGGAGGAGGATGAATAGGAGGAGGAGGATGCTCACCCTGGCGAGCCCAGGGGCTTCTTTGAGCGTTTTGGGTGCCTCGGAGATCCTCTTGAGGCCTCTTGAGGGCCTCTTGGGGGCCTCTCGGAGCTGCCTGGGGGCCTCTTGGGGCCCTCTTGTGGCGCTCTTGGGGGCTTTAGGAGCACTCTTGGAGACATCTTTGGAGACATCGATCAAAACAGAGGGGGTGTTCAATTAGGGCCTCTCTTCGGGAGCCCCAACAGTCGCCTCTTGGAGCGCTCTTGGGGCGCTCTTGGAGCGCTCTTGGGGCGCTCTTGGAGCGCTCTTGTCCGCTCTAGGGGCAGTCGTGGGGCTCTCTTGGGTCTCTCCTGGGGCCCTCTTGCGCCATCTTGGAGCCATCTTGCGGCCTCGGATGGCCATCGGAAGCGAAACGGCGAGAAAGCACAACACAGGTGCGTCACGGTCGCCTGCGCAAGTAACAGCACACATCGGGAAAGATGACGGCCCCCACCATCCTTGCCGAAAACCAATGCCCATCATTGTGTCTGGTGGGCCTGCGCACAGCAGGCCACGCGCCACCACCCCCGCCGTCCCTGTCAAAAACTACTTGAAAGTGATCGTGGGGTGGCCTCGCATGATCCAGATTCGGCCGCGAGGTAAATCTTTTTTGTTCCCCACATCCTGAATGGGGTTCTTGTTTTCCCAGAACATCCTCTCCTTCTCCCTCCCGCCTCCCGCCTCCCATATCAATACCATGCCTACCATCCCAGCCGCCCATATCATACCATGCCTACCATTCCATACCATACCATACCTACCATACCATACCATACCCTCCAGGGAGGCCCAGCCTGAGCGAGGAGGGTATCGGAAACCCATACTATGTACATGGTTTCGTGCCCTTCCCACCTCTCCAGGGAGGCCCCGCCTGAGCGAGGAGGGTATCGGAAACCGATACTATTTACATGGTTTCGTGCCCTTCCCACCCCTCCAGGGAGGCCCCGCCTGAGCGAGGAGGGTACTATCGGAAACCAATGTTATTTACATGGTTTCGTGCCCCTCCCTCCCCTCCAGGGAGGCCCCACCTGAGCGAGGAGGGCATGGGAAACCCGTACTGTTTACATGGTTTTGTGCCCCTTCCACCCCTCCAGGGAGGCACCGCCTGAGTGAGGAGGGTATCGGAAACCCATACTATTTACATGGTTTCGTGCTCCTCCCACCCCTCCAGGGAGGCCCCGCCTGAGCGAGGAGGGTACTATCGGACACCAATGTTATTTACATGGTTTCGTGCCCCTCCCATCCCTTCAGGGAGGCCCCGCCTGAGCGAGGAGGGTATCGGAAACCCATACTATTTACATGGTTTCGTGCCCTTCCCACCTCTCCAGGGAGGCCCCGCCTGAGCGAGGAGGGTATCGGAAACCCATACTATTTACCTGGTTTCGTGCCCCTCCCACCCCTCCAGGGAGGCCCCGCCTGAGCGAGGAGGGTATCAGAAACCCATGCTATTTGGATGGTTTGGTGCCCCTTTTCCCCGTGCAGCGGGGCCCCGCCAGAGCGAGGAGGGTATAACCGTACTATTTACACGGCTTCGTTTCCTGAGCACCTGTCCTCCCTCCTTTTTTTCGTCTGCCCTTTCGTGCGTACTTACTCGTTCGATGAGCTTCTCCTTCGTGTTGACGTTGTCGTACCCCATGGGTCCCACGAAACCGTTAATATCTTTATGTGGAGAGCTCCGTTAGCATAAGTTTGTTGGTCAAGAGTGGTAGCCCTGCGCGCAGCAGGGAACATGCTGACACCCCCCTTCCGTCCCTGTCAATAACAATTAAAAGTTCTCGCGGGTCTCCCGAACATGATTCAAGATTTTGCATTGTATTGTTTTTTGACAGGGATGGTGTGGGGGGCCGCATCGGGTTTGCCGCGCATGCTGCAAATGTGGAGGCAGAGTGCGTTTTGAATCGTTTTTGACAGGGCTGGTGTGGGGGGTGGCCCGCATGGGGTCGGCATGGTTCCGAGTTGGCCGCCGGCCGGGTGGGGATGGGGGTGTATATTAATAGGGAGCAGTGATAAACCCTTCCCCGAAGGGGGGGTGGAAGAGGAAACGCGCTGGACGACCTACGTTCGAAAGGGCTGGTGGGTCGTACCTAGCAACAGCAGAGCGCTGCTGGTGATGCAGGCGCCAAATATATGGCTTCTCAAAAACATGTTGCGTCGGCGGCTAGGCAGAGTAACTGCGCTGGCGGGTGAGCTGTCTAAATGGGAACACCGTTGTAGCGAATTGTGCCACGATGCAGGAGGGGGGGAAGAAGGAAGGGCGGGCGGCCGGGGAAAACGGGGCGAGGGCCGTTCTGGGGGACGGATCGCGCCCGAAGCGGGTGGCGCGGCCAGCGCCGCCAGTGGGGATTACGGCGGCTGTTGCGCCACGGTTCCAACTGCGGTGGGGCCCAGTGCGGGTACCAAAACGAATCCAGCGAGTCAAGTGTACGATACAGTCAAGGGCCTCAAGCACCAGGCGGTAGCTGCGCGTTCCCCAGGTGGGGGCGCGGAAGGGGCGGCGAAAACGTATCGCCCAAAGGGGTGTGTCCAGCAACATGTTAGGCCGGCGGATGGTGGCGGGCGGCAAGACCAAGCCCAGCACGCCAGCGTGGCGGTTGCAGGCAGCAGCTCGGCGCCATGGCGGCGCGCGGAGGGAGAGCGCGGGGGAACAGGCGGCAAGATTAGGCCCAGGATCCCGAACGCGAGGCGGCTTCAGGCGGCAGCCCGGGCGCCGTGGCGGCGCGCAGAGGGAGGGGGGGCGGCCCCCACAACCCAGACGGACAGGGTGGGCCAAGAGGAGGGCCAGGGCCGCCGCTCGTCGCTAGGGCGGGCAGCCAGCGGCGCTCCTTGGCTGGGCAAACCTGTGGCTGAAGCTGGCGGCCCCCGCTGCCCATGTGGACAGGGTGGGCCAGGTCGGGGCACCTAACCGGGTATAGGGGGGACGAACAATGATATAAACATAGAAAAACTTTGAGGTCCGCGCGGATTTCTCGGATCGGCGCTGGACCCCCCTCCCTGGCGCGCGGAGCGCGCCAGGGGCGGCGCCAGAGGCGCCGCCAGCGGGGTAGCCTATTGTAGGAACCTTCTGGCCGTCTCCAGCAGGAGGAGGACTGGGGCACGCGAGCGGTCCGCTTGTGCCCTGCGGTGCCGCGCTGGCTCGGACACCCGCCCAGGCGTGGCGGGGAAAGCACGGCCACGACGCAACAGTATACTATTGCGAGGCTGCCGCGGCGCTTGGTCGCAGCTGTTCCGAAGTGAGAGGCCGCCACCTGGCAGCACCCAGCCCCCCCGAGCCAGGACGTGGCGCGGATGGGCGAGGAGGAAAAGGTACCCATACCGCTACCCTTCGCAAGTTTTCCCCTTTTTCGGCCTCCTGGGAGGCCCTCGTCGCCACCGCTGGAGTCGCCTCGGAGTCCTGGTCAGAACGTACCCCGGGAGAGGTCCGGGGAGTAGCGGCATTCGCACCTTTTCGTCTCCCCACGACGGGGTAATTGGGGAGAGGATGCGCTGTTTTGCATCCTCAGCAGGTCTCGACATGGGTCGAGGAGCTTCGCCAGAGAAGGAGGTAGCTACGTGACCGCTCGTCCTCCTGGACCTAAGCCCGCTGCGTCCGTGCACATCTCTTGAGCATCGCCGGTGGTACTGATGCCATCATGTGGCCATTTTCGCGCATGTCCGACGCTCTTGCAAGCAGCCGCTTTACATCCTTAGCAGGAGGTGTCTCGACATGGGTCGGTGGGGGAGGGGGAGGAGGAGGAGGAGGAGGAGGAGGAGGAGGAGGAGGAGGAGGAGGAAGAGGAGGAGGAGGAGGAGGAGGAGGAGGAGAGGAGGAGGAGGAGGAGGAGGGGAGGAGGAGGAGGAGGAGGAGGAGGAGGAGGAGGACGAGGAGGAGGAGGAGGAGGAGGAGGAGGAGGAGGAGGAGGAGGAGGAGGAGGAGGAAGGGCTTCGCCAGAGAAGGAGGCAGCTGCGTGCCCGCTTGTCCTCCTAAGCCTGATTCTGCAGCTGCTCCTGCTCTCTCGCTTTTCATGCTTCTCCTTCGCCCGCTCCAAGTACGCGTCGTGCTGCCAGGCCGAGAAGGCTCCTGCGGCGGTCTTTCTGGACATCGCAGGCGCCAAGTGCAGCGGGGAGGGAGGGAGGGAGGAAGGGAGGGACAAGAGAGGGAAGAAGGAGGGTGTGGAAGGAGATTCGGATGAGGGAAGGAGTGGGAAAAGGATGTCGGTTGAGAGGAAGGGGATAATGAGTCTCATGTGGGTTGTCAATCGAGATGTGCTGGGAGATGCCGCATTATAGGCCTGATGCGCATGAGATTGGCAATTGGATGACGTGCTGTTGAGAGGGGGAGAATGGTCAGCGCTGGTGCGGTGGTGCGGTGGACACCTTCGCTGCCACGTTGCGGTCCCCTCAGCGATGACCTCAACGAGAGGGCAAACATGGCGGTCCTCCTGCACCTCCATCCCTTCTCCTGCCTCCCGCCTCCTTCCTCGCCGCTCCTGCCACCTGCCCCCTGCCTCCTCCCTCGACCCTCGTCTCTCGTTGCCGTCGCCGTAGTCCCCCTCTGCCTCTCCGAACAGCTGCAGGGACCCAGAAGGCAGCCGCGAGAAGGGAGGCGGCCTGGCCGGCTGAGGTGCCTCAGACCGCTCACCCAACCCAGGCCCCCGACCTCTGGATTTTTTGTATGACATCGACCCCAGAGGTCTCGACCCATCCCCTGCGACTGATCTCCCATCCCGAGCCGTTTTTCGACGGCTCCGAGGCCAGGGAAGGCCCCGTCGGAGGCCAAACATAGCGAAACACTTCCCGTCATCATTTTTTTCCATGGCCCCAAGGGGTCTGGGCAGCCCGTATTCGGGAGAGGGAGGAGGCGGAGGAGGAGGAGGAGGAGGAGGAGGAGGAGGAGGAGGAGGAGGAGGAGGAGGAGGAGGAGGAGGAGCAGGAGCAGGAGCAGGAGGCGGAGGAGGAGGAGGAGGAGAAATGAGGCCGTGCATGCAAGCGGCCTTCGGTCCGCCCAGGCGCCGGCCCGCGGCCGCTGGGCGGCGGCCAGGCGCGGCAGCTGGACCGCACCGCCCCCGCGGCGGTCGCGGCGGAGGAGGGCCTCGGCGCCACGGCGGCCCCGGGCGCCGTTGTCGTCGTCGTCGTCGTCGTCGTCGTCGTCGTCGTCGTCGTCGTCGTCGTTGTCGGCGTCGGCGTCGGCGTCGGCGTCGGCGTCGGCGTCGGCGTCGGCGTCGGCGTCGGCGTCGTCCTCGTCGTCGTCGTCGTCGTCGTCGTCGTCGTCGTCCTCGGCGTCGTCGTCGTCGGCGTCAACTTCTTCCATGGCTGTCTTCGTCGTCCACCGCCGTCGCCGAGGTCGTCGCCGCGGTCGTCGTCGTTTTATCGTCCTCGTCTGCGTCTGCCTCGTCCTCATCGGCGTCAACGTCGTCGTCCTCGCCGGTGTCTTCGTCGTCCACTGTCGCCGTCGCTTTTGTAGTCGGGTCGCCGTCGTCGTCGTCGTCGTCGTCGTCGTCGTCGTCGTCGTCGTCGTCGTCGTCGTCGTCGTCGTCCTCGTCGTCGTTGTCGTTGTCGTCGTCGACGAGTCGTCGTTGTCTGTTTTTTTCTGTAAGTTGTCCTGTTGTCTTCGTCGTCGTGCTCGCCTCAATCTTCTTTCATCTTCCTTCTCCTTTCCCTCCTCCCTACTCTACTCCTTTCCTTCCGTCTTCCTCCCTCCTTCCTCCCCCTCCTTCCCGTCGTTCTTTTTTGGCAGCAATCGCCCTTCATGTGTGTGTAGTAACTGTGGCAAGCTGTTGGGACGAATTCCGGCGGCGCTAAGGCGCAAGCAAGCTACATGTCAACAAGGATCACGCCCCACCAGTGTGATTGTCGGGTCCGTGTAGTGCGAATCTGTGCGTCGCTAGGGCGCGAGCCGCATTTAGAAAATATCACGCCTTCCATCCGTGTTGAGTTTTGTAAGCTTCATTATAACATACTACTTCGACGCCCTCAGGTGCCATCACAAGATCACCGGCGCCATCGGCCTGGGGGGCGGCTCCACAGGCAGCGACAGCGAGAGCGACGTACCAGCCTTTCTCGGCCTTCACGTCGCTGATCCGCCGGCGGGCGCTCATCGACATCTGCAGCGAACTGCGCGCTGTGTCTTGTGGGCAACGGCGGCTACGAGATCCAGATGGGCCCCAGCAGCAAGGTGTGCGGCCTCGCAAAGTCTAACACTGGCCACCTCGTGTTGCCTTGCTCCCAGTTCGGCGAGAGCCACTGCCAGGACGCAGCTCGCGCTCAACCAGCACTTCGTGCTCGAGGGCGACTCTGGCAGCCTCGTCTGGGGTCAGGCCGAGCTTCAGGAACTGGCTGCTCAGCCAAACGTTCACGATGCTCTACGTCGCGGGTGCAACCTGGGTTTTCTACGACCAGGGCCATCTTCTGGACCGAATCCTTCCAACGCTGTCTTCGATTAGTCTCCAGTCCGATCTGGACTCTCGACAGGGGTGTCCCTGTTCCCGGGTTACTGGCGGCCTCGTCGGCGCTGCGGCGGACGTGCGCGAGGCCTTCATCGGGGGCCTCATCGACGCGATCTTCGGGATTCGACCAGTGTTGAAATTGAGATTGAAGCTGCAGCTAGCACGTTAACCATTGCAGCTAAGAGCGCAACAGTTCGGGCAACAGCCTCTGCAGCCATGGGCGCAACGATCGACATCGACCAGGCGACTGGCTATCCTTGACGCTGGTGCGCCATCGCAGGGCGGACACCAGAAACCCGACGAGACTGACGCCGAATCGGGGCTCTCATGACAGGGATTACCGAAATGAATCTCGAGGTTTTTCCGATTGACCAGCGGGGGCCAGCCAAGATCGAGGCAGCCCGGGCCAAGACCGCGGGCCCCACGCGCGCGGAGAAGCGCAAGAAGCCCCAGGTCGTCGAGCGGCATTTCGGCGACTGCGCCTCCTACCTTGCGCCCTGTTCTTCTGGGTCGACGCGTTGGACGGCGACCGCTTCCAGCAGTGCCTGGTCTCCCCAGAGGCGGACTGCCATCTTGGACTCCAGGGCATCGACGTTGGCGAGCATCGCCCAGAGCGTTGCATCTTGGAGCTAGTTCGCTTTGGAGCATCTGATCTTGAGGCTTCCCTCGCCTCTGGCCCGCCAAGGGTGGGGGTCGTGGAGATCGTGGGCGCCCCCGGCTGTCCCATGGAGATCCCCATCCACCGCAACTGCGTGGGCGGCCTCAACTTCGTTTGCATCGCGGGCTTCGATTTGACGGACGACATGGACATCGCCTTCCTCCGGAGGTACCTTGGCGCGACGGAGCCCGATATCATCATCGTGGCACTCCAAGTGCGCCGGCTCGATGAGTCGGCCAGCCTTCAGCCGGACCATTTACCGCGGGAAGTGGCACGGTCCATGCGCGTGTCCGTGCGCCTCGGTGATCGCTGTGCCGCCATCGCGGAGTATCAGCTTGAACGGAGTAGTTTCTTTATCGTCGAGAGCCTCGTTGGCCCTGAGCTCTACCAGAAGGGCCGCCGGTCGGGCCTCAAACGCAGGTGCGACTTGGCTGTTGGCAAGTTCCACCTGTGCATGGCGGGCCGCGTCGGTCGCGGGACTGGCCTGCCGCCGGAAGCGCGCGGAGATGTGGGCCAGCGACTGCTGATTACCGCGCCGCCTTGCAGCGCGTCGCTGCCACGGGCGTCCTCGGCGCGCTGTTCTCGGTCGCCGGTCTCGACGTCCTTGCGAGCCCCCGCCGCCTTCCGAGAGACCCGGAGAGGCCAAGTGTGGCCTCGTATGCTGCGTCGGATCTTGGCCGAGGGATGTCTGGGCGCACTTGCCGACGCCTCGCCCGACGGGCCAACATTTTCCAATTTGTTCGAAACCGAAAGGCTGCCGCGGGGAACGCGCGCAACTGGGCAAGGCGGCGGAGTGTCAAATTCATGGTGTCTTCGGACGCATCCAGATACGCGCCCAAGAAACGCTTTCTTCTAGCAGGCTCACCGGCGAAGTGTCTGGGACAGGGTGTCCCTGGGCATTTCAAGGCGCACTATCGTTTCCATCGACGCCTCCAGCTCGTTCTTCCCTTCGGTCGCTGGCGGGCCTGCAGCGTCGTCCGGCTCTGCTGTGCCGGCGAACTCGCGCGGGAGCCGTCGGCGACTGCTTTGGCGGGGTCCGAGGCATCGCCGCCGGGCGCGCGACGGGCTACACCTCATGAGCGTCAGTGTTCATGCCATGGGGTGCAGATGCCAGAGGTCTCTGAGCGACTCGTTGTGCGCGCGAGATCATGCGTGCAGCGTGCGTGTGTCTTGCCAAGTGCTCGCGTTCACCCTGCATCCGGGGGCTGCTTCCGTCGGGCCCCTGGCGCGCTTGGGGCGATGACTGCCCCGTCTGCCCGGAAATGCCCCGCCCCGTGGAGGATCGGCGCTGGCCGCGGCCAGTCGCCCTCGGGATTCGCGCCCCGAGCAGTCAAAGCGACCGCGCCGTGTCCGGACTACCTGCGGCTGGCTCTGCAGATGCTGCGGCCGCCGATGCCGTGACGGTCAGCCAGCTCCAATCGCTAATGCAGTGGGGGGCGCCGATCGCGGAGGGCGCGGCGTATCGGCCGCCGCCCAGACCAGACTTAGCGGCGACAAGGATTGGATGGCTTTCGACATGGGCAGGACGATTCAGCTTGACCTCAATCTTGACGCCGCCATCGCACAGAGAATCCGCTGGCGGCTGCAGATGAGTCCCTGGCGCGCTTCGGCTGCCAGGTCGCGGGAGAAATTGCGGCGAGCGCGAGTACCTGCGCGGGCTTACAACCGATGCGGAGGCACCATGGCAAGGTGCTGGGCTTGCCGCGTGCGGGCCCAACCCGGGTCCCAATCGGCCACGGCGACGCTCGGGCTCGCCTCTGCTTTTCATGCCGCGGTGCAGTGGGACATCTTGTTTTGCGAGACGCTCCTGATCAGCCAACTCCGTGACGACGTCGCGCGGCTCTGCGAGGCATCGACCCTGGCCGACGCGTGCGCGGCCTCCGCCGTCGCGGCCATCATGTTGAATTGGCTGAAAGGGTCCCGCGAGGGTGCTCGTAGCAGATCAGAGGGGAGGCTCATGTCGGACGAAGCGGCACGGTGGATGGATCGGCGGCAGGTCCAGCTCCAGCTCCAGCTCCAGCTCCAGTCCAAGGAGCGCGGGCCTCACGCCCAGATGGATGAGCGTCGCCATGACATCTTACGTCGGCTTCTGCTTCGGGCGGTGTCACTGCTGAGCGCGGAGGGCATCGTCGGCGTCCCGCTTGAAATTGTCGTCGCGGGGTGCTGCTTGGCCAAACGCCTCCTGGCCCGCGTCGGCGGCTACTCGCCCTGCCGGGCCCCGCGCGGCCGTCTGCCGCCTTTCGCGGCAGAGGTCGAGCCTGCCTCGGAGATTCAGCTGGGCGATCGTTCAGCATAAGTTCCTGGAGTTCGTCATCATCGCCGTCGGCCTCGAGAGATCGCTGCGCAGTCCGCGGTGGATTTCGCGGCCAGGCTGCGCATGGATCTGTCCGCGCTGCGTGCCCTGACCCGGCGCGTGGCGATGTCGCTCGTGCTGGATCTGGGCGATCTTGCATTGTAGACTTCCACCGACCTCCGACGTCGAAGGACGACCGCATCCCGCGCGGAGCAGCCGCGGTTGTCAACGTCGACAGCGGTTCCAGGCGAGGTTCATGCAGTGCCGGGCGCAGGACGTCCAACGCGCCCCGGTCTTCCTTTCCTGAGACAGGCCGTGACCGTCGCCGACGCAGGTCCTGGCGACCTTCGCCGACTCGCCCAACGAGCAGATGATCCGTCCGGGCTGGTTGCTGAGCAGGGCGCGGCGCCGCGTCGAGGCCAGCGCCAAGCACGGTGAGGTGCTTTCATGTCTATGCGGCCTGTGGCTTCCGCCTTGTGGGCGGCGTGCGTGGGCGCGTCGGTCGCGGATATCGCGTCCGCGGGGGCATCCCAGAGGGTTTCGCGAGCTAGAATCTGGCGCGCGCGAGATAGCGCGCATATGATATTACATCTATGCATATAACCCACATGTTTTTGCACGCGTGCCGCATACCATCTTATATGTATGAAAACATCATCGCGTGCTAAAAACAATATATATATATACGGCTATATCAGGTATGTTAT